TAGAGAGCCGGGACTTGCATAATTTTGTAGAGTAACGTCCAAACTATCTACGCATGCAAAAAAATTACTAACATTGTATGTTAGTTTTCTGAGAACGGAGCTGGTTTTCCAAAGATCCTCTGGAAACCGGATCTCTGGAATTTTTTCAAAAGTTGTTTCCGCTTGTGAAACGTTCTGCTCAAGTCTTGGCTATTGAACAGTGAAAATCGCAGGTCTCTATCTCATTCCTATCAAAAGTTATTCAAAAAATGCCCGCGGGTCTTGTATTTTGGAATGGATAGTAGGCTAACGTCACTTAATTGTAGTTATCAGCAGATTCGAGTGTTTTAGAGCTAATTTATGAATCGCTCTAATGGAGATAAGATGGAAAATTTAGTATTTTGACCTAATATTTGCCTCACCAATTTCAAAAAACAGGTGTGCCCAATGTAATTCGTCGATCTCTATGCAACAGTAACTGTCACATTAAGACCTGGTGAGCTTCCTAGAGAGGATTAGCTTTTCTAGCAAAAACTCAACCTAGTTTGACCTAATATTCGTTTCTACAGCTATGTGAAGTCTGGAAATAAGTGTTTCAGATATAACTAGACAAACTCTTACCAGCGGTATATTAATTTAAACGGTGCATTTCAAGAAGTCAAATTGAACAAGTTGGTCTGAAAATAAGATCAATCAAGTGAAATTGTTGTCCTAAAAACTTTCTTTACACAGAACAAAAGAGAACATCACCGTAGAGGAAAAAAACGAAAAAACATTGAAAACGAAACACACTGAAAAACAAAAGGCATTGAAAAAGAAAAAACACTAAAAAAGAAAAGGCGTTGAAAAAGAAAAAAACCATTAAAAAAGAAAAGACATCAAAAACGAAACACTTCAGAACATTATTTCTACAACCATAAAAGAAAAAGAAATAAATAAACAAGAAGCTTCATTTATGTACTTTCAATTATTAACTGAAATCTTAATTGGAATGGAACTTAAAGATGATGAAAAAACTAATATGATTAATCACTGTCGATTACAATATATTGGTAATGACATAGATTTGAAGCAAATCGATGAATTTGAGAAGACTTACAGTCCAACCAAAGCCGTATGGTGGTACACAAGACATTGCTTTTTATACGAAATATTGAATAAAGCACTTCGAATTCAAGACATTGATATTCTGTTTCGATACCGCTTCTTTTTAACTGATATTCACAATCAAATAAAACAATTGCATTCAGAGTTTAATCAATCACTATCAACACAAAATAACGACAATACAGAAAGAAAACTGACTGTGTATCGTGGCCAAGGTATAACAACATATGAGCTTGAAAAGATAAAGAATACTCTTGGAGGGCTTTTATCATTCAATAGCTTTCTATCAACCAGTACCAATCCAGCCATAGCACCCATCTTTCTTCCGAATTCATCAACTGTTGAACCTGTTCTATTTGAAATAAATGTTTTCCAACATGCAAACACAAAACCGTTTTGTAACATAAAGAATGTAAGCATGTTCCCTCAAGAAGAAGAAGTCTCATTCACTATCGGATGCGTAATTCGAGTTGAATCAATTAACAACCAAAACAACCGAGTTTGCAAAATAACCTTGAAGTTGACTAAAGAAGAAGATGAACACTTAAAAGAACTAAGAGCACACTTATACATGGAACTAGGAGAAACGAACAACCTCAACGCACTCGGCAACCTCATGCGACACATGGGAAAATACGAACACGCCCAACAATACTTCACAACATTGATTCAAAATAACCAACACGAACATAATCATCTACTTCAACATTATAATGATCTTGCAATAGTTTACCACCACAAAGGTGAATATGACAAAGCATTAGAATACTATGAAAGGACATTAGAAATCGAGTTGAATTCATTACCGTCAAATCATCCACCATTAGCAACCACATACTGTAGCACTGAGGCGGTTTCCTCTACGAAACATGAATACGATAAAGCATTAGACTATAGCCAGAAGACACATGAAATTAACAGCAGTACCATCAAATCATTCACGATTAACAACTGCATACTGTAACATTGGAGCAGTTTGCTATGAGAAATATGAATACCACAAAGCAATAGAATATTACGAAAAGCCACTTGATCTTCAGTTGAAGTCACTACCATCAAATCATCCACGATTAGCAACTACCTACTGTAGCATTGGACTCGTTTATCACGAGAACGGTGAATACGACAAAGCACTAGAATATTACGCAAAGACACTGAATATTCAGTTAAAGTCATTACCATTAAATCATCCACGACTAGCAACTACCTACTGTAGCATTGGACTAGCTTACCACAAGAAAGGTGAACACGATAAAGCATTAGAATATTATGAACAGACAAGTGATATTCAGTTAAAGTCGTTACCATCGAATCATCCACGATTAGCAACTACATACTGTAGCATTGGACCAGTTTACCACGAGAAAGGTCAATACGATAAAGCATCAGAATACTATGAAAAGGCCCTTGATATTCAGTTAAAGTCACTGCCATCAAATCATCCACGATTGGCAACTACACATTGTAACATTGCAGCAGCTTCCTATGCCAAAGGTGAATACGAAAACGCATTACAATATTATGAAAAGGCCCTTGACATTCAATTAAAATCATTACCACCAAATCATCCACGATTAGCAACCACATACTGTAACAGTGGAGCAGTTTATTCTAAGGAAACCGAACGCCATAAAGCATTAGAATATTATGAAAAGGCCCTTGATATTCAGTTAAAGTCATTACCAGCAACTCATCCATCACTAGCAAATACATACTGTAGCACTGGAGCAGTTTCCTATGAGAAAGGTGAATATGATAAAGCACTAGAATATTATGAAAAGGCACTTAATATTCAGTTAAAGTCATTACCATCAAATCATCCAGCACTAGCAACTACATACTGCAGCATTGGAGCAGTTTCCTATGAGAAAGGTGAATATGATAAAGCATTAGAATATTATGAAAAGACACTTAATATTCGGTTGAAGTCATTACCATTAAATCATCCATCACTAGCAACTACATACTGTAGCATTGGAGCAGTTTCCTATCGAAAAGGCGAATACGACAGAGCACTAGAATATTATGAAAAGGCACTTAATATTCGGTTGAAGTCATTACCATCAAATCATCCATCACTAGCAACTACATACTGTAGCATTGGAGCAGTTTCCTATGAGAAAGGTGAATATGATAAAGCATTAGAATATTATGAAAAGACACTTAATATTCGGTTGAAGTCGTTACCATGAAATCATCCAGCATTAGCAGTTACACACTGTAACACTGGAGCAGTTTTCTATGAAAAAGCTGAATTTGATGAAGCATTAGAATATTATGAAAAGACACTTAATATTCAGTTGAAGTCATTACCATCAAATCATCCATCACTAGCAACTACATGCTGTAGCACTGGCGCAGTTTCCTCGAAGGAAGGTGAATGCAGCTACATGCTGGAGCATAGGACCACTTTTTGATGAGAACGGTGAATACAATAAAGCACTAGAGCAGTATGAAAAGACCCTTGATATTCAGTTGAAGTCATTACCATCAAATCATCCGTCGTTAGCAACTACATACTGTAAGATTGGAGAAGTTTGCTATGAGAAAGGTAAATACAATAAAGCGTCAGAATATTATGAGAAGACACGTGAAATTCAGTTGAAGTCGGTGCCGTTAAATCGGCCACGATTAGCAACTACATACTGTAACATGGGAGCAGTTTCCTATGAGAAAGGTGAATACGATAAAGCACTAGAATAGTATGAAGAGACAGACGAACATTCGCATGTTTATTGTTACTATGTTAGTTTTAGTATTATATTCAAGGTATATGGGTTTACTCATTCTATTTCCTTTTTGATGACCATTTCATAAAACTATTTCTTGCGCCATAGCGAGGCCTACATTTTTATGTAAGGAAATGCTTTTATCCTAGAATTGAATGTATGTTCACCAATGACCAGTGTAAAAACTAATGTTGATTTACTGAAAACGCAAGTAAACAAGCAAATTATTCAATCAAATTCACACTCTTGAAGTAATGCCTTGATTTCTTTATACTGAATCAGAATTGAACTCATTTAGCACAGCTTACGGAGTTTACAGCTGACAAGGCGGCGATAAAAGGTTTAATAAAAAAGTTCGAGCAAATTACGCCCACTACACAAAAGAAGAAGGATTCTAAAAAAGGAAATAGGTTTACATTTAGTTTATATGAAACGTGAACACGAGCTTGAATGTTCGAATTAAAAAGTTCTTTGTTTAAAAAAAGAAGTAGTTTTGATTGTGAAAGACTCTCCAAGCATTATTACTATAGGCTCTTCTACTTTATATGAGGAGGTTTCCAGTGTTATTTCAGAGATTAATCAATATCTTATCACACTTAATCTCCATACATAAAATGAAATTTTTTTATTGAAAAGTGAATATTGTGCATATGACAGAGATGTTTTAATTTCGTTTTTTGTTGATTTAGAGAATTTAACTCATATTTCAAAAGAATAAACAAAAGAAATGTTGCATGCGGATAAATGTTTACGAGAAGAAAGATTTTTTATACCAGAAAAATTGTGCAACAAATCGTTTAATGAGTGGAATTGGACAGTTGCTGAATTTATTCATAAATGGGAAGAAGAGAATATGAGTATGTGACTAAGTGAACGATTAGAAAAAGCAGCTGAAGGTATATTGATTGAAGGTAATAAAATTGGTGAAAATAAAGACGCTCAATGGTTAGCCGAACAATTAAGATTGGTCAAGCCTAAAGGTGAAGATGAAATATATAAATTATTCATATTACTTTATACATATGAATGTTTTTTATACAAATTAATAAATAAGACTTTAAGAGAAGATGATTATAGTAAAATTCAAACATTGGCTCCATTTTGTGGTTTATTACATACAAGTAATTGTGTAGCTGCAACAAAATCGTATATTTATAAAGGTAAAGTTTATCGTGGAATGCATTTAGATCAAGAACAAATTGAATGTTCTAACCAAGCTATAAAGAACGATGATAAACAATGGTTAGGTTTCTCGTCAACAAGTTAAAGTCGAGATATGGCTGAAACTTTGAAAATACACTGTTTATTATTGACATTGTCAGGGAATATAATGGTATGGATATATCGGAATTATCCTTTTTCCTAGCGAACAGGAAGTATTCATACCTGCATCAACAAAATTTAAGGTTGAAAACGTTGACTACGATGCAAATAAAAATAAATACTTCATTTATTTGACAATTTAACATTAATATTAAAATAAAATCAGCAGTTAAAACTCGGTTTATTATTCTCGTATTTTATTACCTTCTGAAGACATCTATTAGTGAACAGCAACATGATCTAGCATAAGGAAAAATAAATATATTATTAAATGTATTTTTCATTAACAGATTTTTCTTAATCCCATGCAAACAAGCGTGTTCCTTATAAGCTTCTCAAAAGCTTTTAACATACAGACTATGCCAGAAAACAATGTCTTTTTTACCTTCTCAATTTCTCATTCAATATTTTTTGATCTTACTTCTCTTGTTAAATAAAAAGCAGGATTTTCCCCAAAGTCTCGCGACTGAGTTCGAAACTTTCCGCTAACAGATTGGCGAAGTAGATTAAATATTTCTTAGAAAAATGAGACGTTATTGAGCTCTTCGACGACATTTATTCATGTAAATACAGTCAATTGACAAAAGGTCACAGACAGTTAAGAGTAGGTCTTATATACAGCGTGTTTACTTTATGAAAATGCTTATGGTGATAATTCTATTGAATGGTCTGACTCTGTTAGATGTTTTGTGCACGTGTATGTTCCTATCTCAAAACAACCAAATGCTTTTGATCATAATATGAAACATGTTTATCCACAATTATACGGAAACGTGATTGGAATTATCTTATAAATTTGTTACAATCTAACTTTTTACGTATAGTTCATAATGAGTAGTCAACAAAAATATCTGAACGGCTTAGTAACATTCAAAAGTTAGGAAGAGGTTGGGAACGGTTGCGCGTGTATGATCAACTGGAGTTTACTTTATCAACTAATGCACCGAATTGTTCTGCATTTCCTACGTTGCATCAACCGTATACAAATATCAGTAAAATATTTGACGAATGTGCAAAGGATAAAAGTAAAAGAGATGACTGGATATCATTATTCACATGGTGCCTGGAGCACTGATCACTTGAAGATGAGCCGCTATTACCGAATGAGACAAAGATGATGCTGTTTTTAGAAAGAGTCTTTCTTTGGACGTTTGCATTTGAACCAAATAAATTGTGTAAAACATTCGGTTTCGGATCAACAGCAGGTAATGCCATCACGGAACATAATGTCCGTTATGATTATGGATGTATACTAAGTGAGAATGTTTAAACCAATTTATTCAACATTAGAAGATGTTCGCGAAGCAGAAGAAGGATTTCAAAACGGAGTATTTTATCACCCCAGTGGTATTCCCGTTCCATTCTTGCTAAGATCTGCCAGCGAACACGATTTTGTCCCGTGTAACGAAAAAATGCTGATCTTGGCAAAATGAAATTGCGATCTCATAATTGTAATCGTGTTCTTGATGAAGTTCGTTGTGTGATCCCGTTTCATTTGTATTTCAAGAGTGTGACGGGATCGCGGCAGGATTATAGCAAGTTCGAGTCTAATTCGCGACCAAATCTTGAAGAGATTTTTCTTTTGCCCACTGTTGAGGAAAATTTTTCATTATTATATCATTCTGGTTCTAAAACTATCAAAATACAAAATCAATCCTTGCGCTTGCATCACACTGACTGTGTGTTTTCCTCTATCTCAGTCTGTAACGACGTATTGTTCTTTTTCTTTCTTGCATTCGTCGATAGAAGAAGAAAAACAGACAGACAGTGTGCGTATATTATCGTCCACTCGTTAAGCATGTCAGTCTAATGGTAAATGTGCCACAAAAGCTTGTCCATGCAAAGCAAAAGGTGTCATATGTTGTACGAAATGTCACGCGAGAAAAAAAGATTCATGTTCAAACATGTTATAGTTGTTGAAATATTATAAAAAAAAAAAAATATAATTGAAATATTATTGAAATGTAAAAACGACATTGTAAATCGACTGCCTTTACCGTTATTGTAAACAACATTATGTTATATCAACGGTGATGTGTATGAATTCTTTTTCTTCTTTCTCCTAGGATAGAAAAAAGATGCTATCGTATCATGTATTCCAGTTTTCCCTAAGAGGAAACTAGGATAGTAGTAGATTTGTTTTACTCTAGGACAATTTAGAATTCCCCTATAGGGCAAATTAGAAGTCTAGTTTGCCCTAGGGGAAATTTGAATCTATCATTTTCCTTGAAAACTGTTAGAGAAAAAGTACTATTCTAATTTGCGCTAGGAGAGATTAAAATTTCAATTTTCCCTAGGGGACTTCTAAAGTGCCCTAGATTCTAATTTCCCCTTCAACATATATAACAGAAATACATTACAAGTCAATTAGTCATTTCTTCACTTTTTAGCGCAGTGTCGATAAGAACCTAAGGAAATGCATCTGAGAAACTTCTTACCGGCAAAAACAATATCACACTTTCGATAAGCAAATTAATAACAGTCCAACTTTGAGATATTGAAATAAAATGAAGTTCAAAGTTCAAAACAAAGGAAATAAATTGCTGTGTACTCTGAAGAAGGTGCTCCAGCAGAAAGTCTTTAATTACTTTATGTTCTCGAAGAAAATACCGAGTAAAACATGATGAAATCTGGTGGAAAAGAGATTAAACTATCGAAAGAAGATAGTGACAATCAGATAATGACACAAAAGCTTGCTCAGCCTTCCTGCAACTTTGTTCTAATTTCAACAGAATCTTAGTACGATCTTGTCAGGGATCCAGTCAGAACCTTTTCACCTGCAGCGCGGTCTTGTTTCAGTCTTGTCACGATCTTAGCAGGATTTCAGCACGATCTCGTCAAAAAACTGCCACGTCAAGATTGTCAAATTTTCGTTGCACGGGAAAAAGAGCAAGAGTAGGTACGATCGCGGTAGCGGGCTTGCATAAAATTTCAAATTTCTTGACAAAATCCCGGCAAGATGAGCCCGTATTCTTGCTGCGAAATGAAGCGGGAATGCTACTAGGGCATGTTCATAGAAAATTAGGCGAGTATAACTAGGTATGCACCGGGTTGAGCTACCCGAAATTTTAGCTACCCGAAAATTAAAGTATGCTTTTTTTCTGATGGTGGTTATTCTCCGGCCTTCATATTGAAGAGAATCCCACACTTTTGTACTATTTTGCATGTTAACTCCATTTTACACTTTACCCAAGTAAGTTGAACTCTTATGTCGCTTTCGTATTTTGCCGTAACAAAAATTTCGTTTGACACTTAGAGTAAGTGCAAAACATTCTATTTGCAAGTGCATTTCGATTTCGGATAATCGATGTTCAATCGAAATCAAAAATGCCTTACTCTAAGTGCCAAACGAAATTTTTGTTACGGCAAAATACGAAAGCGACGTAAGAGTTCAGATTAGTTGAATAAAGTGTAAAATGAAGTTATAAAAGTGTGGGATCCTCTTCAATGTTGAGGCCTGAGAATAACAACCATCAGAAAAAAAAATACTTTAATTTTCGGGTAACTCGAAGCTCGGTGCATGCCTAAGTATAACGTTTATGCAAATCAATTTCTTTTGTAATCAAGTATTCAAATAGATTTGCAAGATTATATAAATAAATTATCTATGCCAGTTCGATATAGGGACTTCACTACCCAGCTCAATATACAACAGAAAGATGATGACATTCCATTATCTTTGCTCAAAATATTTTTCAACTCAAGTGGTAGCCTAAAAATACCAGTATTAGTCTATAATTTAGGTCGATTTTATATTCTAATTCATCAGACATTTTATCAACTAATTAACGAAAAAGATTTTCAGAACATCTCATGAGAAGCCTTTCTTGTTATTGATAAAAAACGATTTAAACAAAATGAATAAGTTTATGCCGAAATTGTTGCTAAAGGTATTGAAGCTCTAAAATGTTATCATTCATTTACAAATGGCTATATCCAACCTGGATCATGTGGTTTAGCTCAATAATTTCTAGAAATTACGCTTACAAATTCATTAAATTATTTAATAATAATGCGAAATAGTGACGAAACTGACATTATAATGCGCCTTCTTATCATTCCTGCTGATTTTAATAATAATTTATTAAACATGTTAGAACACGGTATGGACAAAATGTACTAAGTAGATAGTATATTGAAAAAATTACTTGATAGATTTAATAAAAAAAACAGTATCTATATTATAAATTGCTTCGAGCACTCAACAATTAGAAGATGATTGGAATGATCTACATTTACTCATACTCGACAAAATTGTATTAAAAAGGAATGATGGACTCAATAGTTTAAAACAAGTTGCATTAATGATTAAAGATATCTTAAAACAAATAGAAATGGGTAGTACAGATGATATTCAACAAAAAATTAATCATACAAGTCAACAATTAGTATCAATGGATGTGTACGAATTTATTGCAGATCTTGTACAAGTAGAAACAAATTTGATAGAAATCTTACAAAAAATGTGAAATAAAAGATTTTCCACTATGTTATATTGATAATATATGAGAGTTATTTGAAAAATAAATTGATAGTTTTCAACACTTATTTACAGATATTCCAGAATTATTGAGTACTTCAATATCAGACGAACTTTGTTGAACAATTTTGATGGTAATAGTGAAGACGTTAAACCAAATATACAAGCAATAACTAGTCTATTAGATGATTTAAAGCACATATAAGAAACTTTATTACAACAATCATCGAAATCGCTTGTGAAAATTTATGAGATAATGAGTATAGATAATCCACTATTAATATTTATGCCAAGTGATATTAAATGTGAAAATTATATAGCAATAGCATATTTTTTATTCTGTTCAAAATTATTATTCAAGTGTCGTTGAAAATTTGATATGAGAATGATAATAATATTCCAGAAAATTTAATGAATCATTTTGCCAAATTCTTAGAACAAGAAGAAATTATGGTTAATTCAGACAATAATTCAAATGATTATTTGATTAATTTTAGTTTATACGAAGGTGAAACTATGAATAATGTGGCCTTTGAAGAACGAAAAACTTGGAAAAACTATATGGACGCTAGACAAGATGAAGACAAAACTCCTCCAAATAAAATTCAGATTATTCCTCTTCGTACAGTAAACAGTAAAATAATTTTTACACCTGTTTCTACTACAAATTCTTTATTTGAAATATGTTTGAAATCAATCAGTTATGAACCAAGCCAACTCATCGAATTCCTGATACAGCTTGCATCGAAAAAAATCAATGGTACTATAGTGCTATTGGTGCTGGAGCAAAAAATTACACAGTATAATTTCCAAATGATTCACCACCATTATCAGTCATATCTAAATTAGATAAATTCAATGAAACTATGAATAAAGTATTTTTAAGGCATAAATTTAATAATCATGCTCTCGTAGATGTTGATGGTATTGTGATTGATCTTTCAGTAAATCGTCAACATAGTTGTATTTCACTTAACTGTCAGATTGTTGAAAAAAAGTTGTTTATTAGACGTTTATTTTCATTTACCAGACGGAAAAGTTATGAATATTATGTAAAGTACCGTACTCTTACTGAAATGATTATAGTCAAACTGCTTAATAATTATTTAACAAAAGTCGATATGTTAAATTTTTGCTTTACAGATCACTATGGACGCAGTGTGAATTGTGGTTCGATGGACAATATTTTTCGAATATTTGATACTAATGATATTCATATTTATGCGAAACCAAAGAAAGCTTATCTTTTGCAACTCAATATTATAAAACCGTCTTCTTTTGGAAATAATAACATTTCGAACTTATTTGTATTGACAACAACTTCTTACTGGATCGTCTACAACTGATTTTCATTTTGGAATAGAAAACAAAATCTTTTAATCAATAATTTTCAGACAAAAATACTGATTGCTATGTGTTAAAAATTACGTGATCATTAGTACGAGATTCAGGCCTTGCAGTTCATTTACCATGACTTACGCTCAATAATCGAAATATTATATTTTTGAAGCAAAAAAAAGGCTAATCAGCATGAAACTTCAGCAACCTATTAAACTGGCTATAACGAAATTACAAGATGAGTTTATTGGCACCATTTACTAACAGGTGCCATTACAATGCATGAGATTGTCGAAAAATGATAGACGAATATCAACGTGGAAATGTAAATCGAATCGTTTCAGAAAAAAGTTTTTGACTTTTTATATATAGTAATTTTCACAAGAAAAGTTGTATCTATCTCGGATTCTGGAACCTTAATGAGCAAGCGTTCTCAGGTGACACGCTCTCTTTTCATTCATTCACATGTCGATCGATAGAGCATATTGAGGTAATAAAAAGCCTAAATGGATTTATCTCGATGGCTCTTCGTTCGAAACTTATAGCCATTTTTCTGTTTTTTTCTAGCGACAATAGAGAAAAATGGAAAAATTCATAAGCCTACAAATAATGGAATATACACTTGAAATTTTTACACATAGTAGGACTACATACGAACTAACTATACTGAAAGTTTCTGCTCTCTACTACATTTTATTCTGGAATTAGAAAGTTTTCTATTTCCTATAGAAAATCTCACTTGCTCTCTTTCGTGTTTCTTTAGTATAACAATGTTTACTTCCCTCTTATACAGTCGCACACGTTTGTCTCTGTATCTATTTCAAAGTTGTTGTTCTGTCGTGGGAAGTTTGATGCAATGATTCGTTAAGGCTGGTATTAATTCGGCTATCTGAAAAGAAACCCTGGTATATCTGAAAACACAAAACAGATATGCTTTTCCTTTGATATTTATCGTTGTCATAATCAAAAAGGTGATGATTCGTTAAATTGTCCGTGTATTACACACCACCAATATTAATTGATGCAAGTATTGAAAATTTTCCTATATAATATCACTTTCTACAAATAATTCTGGATATTTCATTGTTGTTTTAGTCCATTCTTGTTGTTTTAAACGAAGAAAAGGTGATGATGGATGTAATACTAAAAAAAACACTCAACATGTGACTACGCTCTCTGCCTTTACTAAAGAAGGGAGCATTGTCGTCAAAAATCCACCTCGTTTGGCTAATTTCGTCGCTGCGAAAGGAGCCTTCGTCGTGATCTTATAATACTAAGCAAAAAAACTAGACACATAACTGTATGATAAATTTAGAGATAAAACTAGATTATGAAATTTTTTTGAATTTTTTCCTCTGATAATGTGCACTGGGAAGGCTCAGATATTCTTGATCAACGTGAAAATTTTCGCTATTTCGAAGTAAAAGCTTGGAGTAATCCATCTCCACAAAAACTGAAGTCCGAGCATCGTCTATAGGTGATCTATCTCATCTAATAAGATCAAAGACACTAATATTAAAAAAATTTCAGGTACGATTATTGTGAGGAAAAGTCTAAGTTTTTACTTCGACATAGAGAAAACGAGACTTTTTTATCAACTTTTGTTCAAAAGTTATCAAACATAACTGAGTGCATATCATTTCTGATTTTGAGCTTATCTGCATGAGACTTGATACGTGCATGAAATAAGGAGTATAAAAGTGTTCTCGAAACACAAGAATAATGATGTAGCACTGGTAAACAAGAACTTGTGTCATTAGGGTCGTTTGATCATAAAAATGAGTAATCAATGAGATCAGCCATCAATTTGTAATTATGTGATGTCTTTGAAATTGCATATAAACCATAATCGCTAACAATATGACACAAAATAGACAAAATGAGACCTCTCCGAACTTTCTAAGAGCTTTCCTCATAAAACAGCATTCAGTTTACGGAAGATCATACCACCAAAATTAGGACAATTAACGGGAAAATAAGAAAGACACACTGTTAGTGCCTTCCGTAAACTGGATACTGTTTCATGAGAAAAGCTCTTAGAGAGGTCGGAGATCTCTCATTTTGTCCAGAAATCTTTGCTCTACTCGACTAAACTAACGGTAAAAAGTTCAATTATATTTGTACACAAGAAAAACAATAAATACAGAGGGATTACGTTTTTTCTGTTTCACCCTGCAAAGAGGTGTGAGGTATGAATTTCGCTATTTTACTACTTGAATTAACTTTAATCGCGATCGATTATGCTCAGTAGCTGGCTAAAAAAATATGCCTAAACGATTGGTAAAGTTGCTTTCTTAATAACAAATAAAGTAAAGTATAATGAAGAGGCATATAACATTAATTAGCATTAAGCTTAGAATATGAAAATTGAAAAAATCTTTAAAAAATAACCAAGAATTACGCGGAGTTCTTGTTTTCATGCAAAATACTAGAAACTCGAAAACCACAACAAACTTTAAGCCAACAGTGGTTATCTTACAGCTCCTTTTTTTATTCCCTGATGAAGATGTGCCGTTTCAACATAGATTTCATATTTAAGCAATCTGTTTTATCCTCTGCTTATGGTGGAATCTTTTCAGAAATATAAACAGTTCGACTGCACAGCGTTTTTTCAGCTCTTTCTATCGCAAAACGAATCGGATCAAAAACTGAATTTTTAAACCTATAGAAAAATCATTACAAAAAGGGGTAAGTTTTTTTTGGGACACCCTGTACGCGTAACATTAAGAGTGGATCATATTCCATGCTTTAGTAGGCGAAATAACGAATGTAGTCTAATGTAAAATACAGATGATGTGTGTTAGGGGTGGAATGAAAAAGTTCCGATGTTTTCATAACTGTCCACAAAATACACTGCAATAATTAGAACAGAAAGAAATCGACTTTACTTCCGAACACAAATGAGTCCAAATACATAATTTCTCATTTACAATATAGTTAGTTATTGTAGATAAACTCAAATTCAAATGAAATCTGTTTTATTTACCAAACATTGTCTAAATAAGTAAAACAGAATAAATTATTCAAAAGAAAAGAGAGATTCTTCAGTTATATATAGAGGTGTAGCCGTAGCGGTTTTCCTTTTCAACTGTCAACGGTAATTTATCAGTTGACGTTCTGAACTGTCAAGGTGTTGCATTAGTTGACGTTCTAAACTGTCAACTGCGTTTCGTCAGTTGACGTTCTGAACTACAACGGTATCTCTTCAGTTGACCTTCTCAACTGTCATCGTTGAAACCCACTGGTCTAAGGTTCTTAAATGAGTGAAAGTTTCATACTTTTCATGTAAAGCTTTGGCATGAATGAAGATCTCTCGTGAATCAAAACGTGTTGAGAAATTTTCCCGTTTTCTACGTTATTCTGCTCGTTTTGTGCCTCTTTTTTTCAATTTTCTTTCGCATGATTTTTCTCAATGCTTTTCGGTCTACAAGTCATCATACTGATACTGAACTACACTATAACGACATCTAACGACATAGTTTTTCACGTTGACAGCTGAGAGCGTCAACTGACGAGATACCGTTGAAGTTCAGAACGTCACCTGACGACGTGCAGTTGACAGTTTAGAATGTCAACCGATGAAGTAGCGTTGACAGTTCAGAACGTCAACGGCAAAACCGTTTCCGTTTAAAATTTTGCCAAACCAACGTGAACGGCTACAACAATAGTTATATATTTATTTATTCGTTTGCCTTTTTTGAAATATGATTATATGCTGTTGAAAATTGTTTCGCTAATTTTTTATCGCCTTGATTTAATTCTCGTTCTTTTTGGTTTTCTATGTTCGGTCGAATTAAATTTGTTTCTAAACGATCTTTTAACATCGTCGCTGCTTTATTATTCAAATTTACTACTCTTGATGATAATGCTGTATTCGAATTAGCTAATTCATCAATTGTAGTTAATAAAGCTTTTTTCAATAAATCTGAGTGCGGATTTGAATTACATGTTTGTTCAATTAGATTTTTAACTGAATTTGAACCAGATTTTATTAATGTATCATAGGTTATATTTCGATCTACTAATGTATTACGATAATTTTTATAAACTGAAACGACACGACCATCATTAAGAAATTGATGTTGATCTTTTAATAGTTTGCATTGTTGAATACATGGTTCTAAAATTGATCGAATTGATGGGTCTAGTTGATATTTACTTGTCTGAAATATTGAATATGGATCTGAACTGTTTATTATTTGATTTACAAGATTAACATGTGCATCAGTTTTTAACACTCTTTGACTATTAATTGTATCGATAACTGTCTTCTTTAATTGTTTTACATTTGATACAGCTTTACTCATTTCTAATTCGAGTGCTTGCGGTAATGCAACGGCCGTTAGTTGTTCTATAGTTATTTGTCCTATTTCGTTTTTCAATACTTCTATGGCGCTTGGAACTAAATTATTTAAATCTAAACCAGATCTAATTAAATTATCTTTAACATTTAAAACTCGACTAAATACTTCCTTTTCTTTTCCACTAAACAATTTATTTTGTCCATCAAATAAATTTATAAAATTATTCACGGTTTTCGTATTTAGTAATTGATTTAAATCACCTCGAACTGCAGCTACAACAGCATCAATATTTTCTGATATTTTCGTAGCATAGTTCAATGATGCATTATTAATACCGGCTACCTTCAATGCATCAAACACAGTCTCTCTCACTGAATTTAAATTAAATCCATTCTTAACAAGTCCATCAATAGTTTTCAAACCAAAACCAATAACGTTAATTTGTTGTGTTGAAAAAATCGGTTGAACAAATTTATTTAAGACACCTAAGCTCAATAATTCTGTACCATAGGTAACAACTTTATTTTTAAAATAATCAGTCAAACTGAAATCGGATGTGATCGTCGTAGCTAAAACAAGAGACCAAACAAAGCTATGTATTAGATTTTATAAGTAAACCCTGATGCAGAATAGAAGATTACTAGTATACGATCGTGTTCAGTATTTCAACAGCACAGAAATTGTCTTTGATTTTTTACATCGCAATCTAATCTCTGAAGAGGGATACTGTTCTCTATTCTAAATTTTACGTCGTAGGCTCTGTGTTGAGATACTAGTAGGGGCTAGTATACTACTGAAAGAGTCTCCTCTCCTGTGACAGAATATAGTCTTAAATACGAAAAAAAAATATTTAGAGAAGAAATGCGACTAGGAATACAACTTACCAACAGCAGTGTACATATCAAATACGCCTCCCATTATCATTGATGTACCAAGTTTAACATGTCCTGTTGTATAGCACAATATTGCACCACCAATAACTTGTGCTACACCCATTACAAATATAAATATTGTTTTCCACCAACATCGTTTTGCTTCGATAATAAATTTATAACGAAACTGTAGACCTTCATAGCACCATTCTTTTCTCTCTTCTTCTAGATCAGGTATTAAATATGCAAATTCTGTACCATTTAATTGTTCTTGTATAAATTCTTCTGTCCAATATTCATAATTACATGTTAATTCATGTTTATCGGAATCATACTGATTAAGTTGATTTCTTGTCGCTTCAATATAACTTTTAACGATTTGTAGAAAAATCACTTCGGCAAATACACGTGGTGGCTTTCCATCGGACGGTGGTTTTGCATTCAATATTATTAATTTATTACGATTTTCAATCTCATATACAAGCAAATTTAGCGATCTATTCATAGCAGTTAGAGCATCACTGCCTTTTCCTTGACCAACAAGACACCCTGCTTTATTATAGAATACAATGAAATCTGAGTCGTCTCGTCGTTCTGCTAATTCTAATAGTTTTAAACTACGACTGTTAGCACCTGCTATTTTCCCGCTTTCGCCACACACTTCATTTAAACCAGCATCCATAAAATACTTAGGATGTTCAATTAATTCGTTTAGTATATGACAATCAACGTTAGCTTGATTTTCTTTACGTTTGGCATCATCGTCCTTCACTCCGAACTGGAATCTGACATATGTGGTAAATTGTGATTGTTGATCAGGATTGCGTTTCATCTGAACACATCGATTTAAGCATGTTTGAACTTTATTAGCAAATTCTTTGTAGAGTCTTTGAATTGACGCTTCATCATCCATATCATCAGTTTTAAAACAATAATTCCCCCATGTTTCTCGTAATGAATCAAATCCAGGATTATATTTTTTATTATTTCCAAAATCAATATATTCTCGTTGACTATGTGCCATATTTAAAAACTGTTGTAATAGATGATCTTTTGCTTCAATTTTTCGTACCTTCTTCGTAGCTTCTTGTATCGTTGTTGCTTTATATTTATCTCGTAACTGTTTAACACCTTCAATTGTTCGATGTTCATCAATAGCTAAATTTTTGAAATATTGAACCAATTGAGGCAGATCCTCTTCCTGATTCAATATCAATCGTGCACTACCAGGATTTCCTTGTCGACCAGCACGTCCGAATGCTTGCTGTTCAACACGAAGATTTTGTGGTAAAAATGGAACAATAACATGTAGCCCACCACAATCATTTATAGCTGTTACTGGTTTTAAATCTGTACCACGACCTGCTAAATTCGTTGCTACAATTATATCACCTTCACACACTTGCTCTGGTTTATCATGTTGCTTATCATCACTTCGTACATAGAGTTTTATTCGATGTCTTGGATGATTACCTTCTAATTTTGATGCAACATCTACTGCATCTTGTATTGTCTGACAAATAATTAAAACAGCTCTACGATTTACAACTGCAAATTGATTACATTCAATAGAAATTTTATCTAACCATTCAATACGATTTCTGGCAAGCTGACCTAAATGCAATAGGGAAAAGAAATACATACTAGTTACTAGGGATGCACCAAGCCCAAACAGTTTGGGTTTGTGTTGGATTTGTGTTTGGTGAAGATTTGGGATTTGTAGTTCTTTAACCCCCAACTACTTGGGGTTTACAAACCGCAAATCCCAAATATCCGGTTTTGGTACATCCCTAGTTACTAGTAGTGCGCTTTAGGTGTAAATTATCGCTACAAGATTAAGTTACAAAAGAACTAACCTGGATGTATTGTAAACTGACTGTCTAAATATTTTGGTATAAGTACAACATCGACTTCATATACATCTCGAACGAAGTTTTGTGAAGATTGTGCTCCAACTGTACCCGTAAGACCATATAAATTTGGTCGATATTTTTTGAAAAATGTTACATTTGAAAAGAATGAATCACACATTCGTTCAGGTGACAATCTGAGTTGATGCTTCAATTGTAAAAATTGATGTAATCCATCATTCCAATGCATATTTGTCTGTGATACACCGGTATTTCTGTAATCAACAACAACTATCTTACCATCGTCAGATATAACATAATCAACCTTTTCATGCAGATAATACATTGCCGTTTTACAACTTTTAATCCATTTTGGTACTTTTGAATTAATATATTCTTGTCTGTAAGTTGGACAACGTATGATGTTTGGATTTTTTAATTTTTCTTGAATAAATGTTAAAATATTAATCATACAATGTTGTTTTTGTTCGTTTATCATCACAAAACAATCGTCATCTGTTATATTAAACTGTGAAAAACAGCTCCAAATTAAACGAAATATAATAGCTAAACTTTTCATACCGGGTGTTAACGATGCGAGTTGAGTATAATGATTTGATTGATCAATAAACATACTGTCAACTTCATCGACAATAGCTGCTTCATACGGACGATTTTGACGTACATTTTCTAAATAGAATTCAGTCCTTAATAGATCACCAGCAAAATGATTAACAGTACCGTAAACAATATCTAGTAAATAATTTGTTTTATCTTCTAAATTGTCTCCACAATTATGTGTACATGTTAAATTAAACATTTCATAAAAATCTTTAAATTCCTCTGTATCACGTATAGCTAAAACTTCACTTGTTGTTATAATATCAACTTTCTTACGTCCAAGTGCTAAATAAACAGCTAACATACAAACAATTATCGATTTTCCTTCACCAGTTTTTATATTTGTAATACGACCACCGTGTGTTTTATGTCTTAATAACAAAATCACAGATAAAATTTGTATATCGCGTGGACAATATTGTTTATGAATATATGCAGCTTTTATAATAACGGCCATTTTAATGCAATCATCATTGGTAGAAAATGGTTGTTTGTGTTGTTTTTTTTGAGAAACAGCTGATGTTCTTGTCCAATTCTTAATATCATTAACTGACCAAGACGAAATGCTCTCTTTGTAATAATTCATTATTGTTTGATAAATTGATTCTAATTCATTTTGATTTACAATAATATTTCCATTGAGTTGTTCAAGTTCTTGCAATAATGTTTGTAAACTTTTACCAGTGCCTGTTTCTTTTATAATTTTATTTAACTCTTTCATCCACGAACAACTATTGTTTGAATTGGATGTTATATACTTAATAATACGTTGAATATTATTTGAATCAGCTAAACGATTTGTAACAATTGTTTCAACAACAAGTATTGAGGTTTTTAAGGCATCAATGCTATTATAATTATACAGATTATAAAATACAGTTTTCAGTGATGTAATATCTTTCGTTGGCCATTTAAGATAAGCTAATTCACTAAGATTTTCATTTAATATAGTTCGATATTCATGTAATGGTTCTTTTTGTTCGTCTTTTTCATGATGATGATAAAAATGTGTTACAGAATTTAGCGGTTGTAATGCTAGTTGTAAACTTTCTGATTGCTGTCGTTCATATACAGTTTGTCGATAATCTGCTTCTGCTGTTGTTGTTGTGCTATTAGTTGTTGTATTAATTAAATTATTCCAAGTATTAGATGTGAATTCAGATGTCAATGGCGTTAACCAATCAGTTTGAATATTTCTACTTACGTCTGTTAAAAGTGTATTATTCCATTCATTTGTTGTTTGCGTTTGAATAACAGATAGAATTTTCCCTGCTGATAATAATGATAAAATTATTTCGTTTGATAAAATTTCAAGAAGATTTTCTAATTTAATACGTCGATTATTGTTCATATTCGTTGTTATTGATAGTTTATTCCACTCACAAATCGTATCTAATAATTGAGATTTTTCATTGTACGTCCAACCAATTTTATGAAATTCAAACAGTTTTGAACAAATTTCACGAAATAAATCATCGTCAGATAAAAAGTTCATTTTTAACAAAAGAAGTGTATTACTTGTTTAAAAAACTTATCGCACTACAGTAAACATCCACGAAAAAAAGTATATATATGCATGGATCGTTGTTGTTTGGCTTCTTAGTTATTGTGTGCTATAAGTTTTTTTGTCTACTGTCACTTTATTTTTGAAATTTAAATGAGTCAAAATTGGAATTTAACAAATTGAAAAGAACAAACATTTTGGAAAATGTTTGTTTAGTGTGTATGTGTGTGAAAGAATCACAGTCAAGAACAATTTTTAAACGACAGTGAACAAACAGAAATGAAAAAACAGAAGCCTACCTGTGGACATTGAATCATATAACAATTAGCAGGTTTTTGTACAAGAGAAAAATATTTTAGTGGGATTTTTACATGATTGAATTATTAGCACTTTATTAAAAATAAAAAGGAAGGATGACAAGGGTTGTTCTTTTGACTACGCATCACGTTTACATTGACTTTATCCGGGCAATTCCGTGACACTACATTACCGCGAACGACATTACCGCAAATATAGAAGGTGAGTGTGAGAGTGAGTTCGAAAAGTAGTTTCACACAAAACATATTTTAGTTAAGTTTGAAAAGATGATGTACAAAATACAAAACCAGTCTCGTTTATTCGTGTTTTCCAATAAACAAGTCTTCACGGTAATGGCGCTGTATCGAACAGTTTCAGAGTAAGAGGACTAGTACAACTCGAACTCCTGATGACCAATATCACGTTTAAAACTTTTTTTAAATAACGCACGGTAGCCTTCTAGACCTGTGGGATTCGACATCGCTATATAGGTGAGTGTTCCTCTACTTGAAGAGAACTAACTTCAAACACCCTCTTAGCTTGAAGTTACGACCTTTTTAATATAAGTTCCAGTTTCGATCCGTAGAATTCGATCGGTAATTGTGAACGAGAACTTCGACTGAGTGAAATGAGCAAGTTTCACATCGATTCTCTTCTCTCTGCTTAGTCAATGTGAGTTTTCGAAACGGTTGCGACACAGTAATCGTAGAAAGTATTTGTCCCACTTTGAATCAATACCAATCTGCCTGAACGGAGCAGGCTACAAAAACGTGAATATCAAATAAATTTAATGTACGGAAATGAACTTGAAACTCCAACATCACTTTCTTGATCACTTTTCGGAACATCGCAGTCAGAGGAGCCCAAGTTCAACATTTATTTTTTTCTGTGAAATCACTAAATTAAAATTAAACTGAAATCCGTCCATTCTAATACAAATAATATAACAAAAAGTACAACTGCCATTTTTGGCGAAATTTTCTTCATTTTTACTCTCGACAGAATAAATCACTTTTTGCACGTAATTTGTATCCATTGTTGTCTATTTTCTCCCTAGATTACCTTTTTAACATTTTTACTGTCCACAAAAAGAACTTAAAACATCACCTGTACGTTCATTTTAAAGAATATGTGATAATGCTACTATGAAACTCAAATGACAGTTTTTTACCTTTTTGGCACAAAATTTCCTTCGAGGAGGGGACCTTTTAATTTTCCTGATTATATATGATTCAGGACGTATAGTAGAAAAAAAATTCACTCACAAGTCCATGAATTGTATATAATTCAGTTATTGTCATAGTATCTATATAATGTACAGTAATGACATCAAATACCAAGATATAACATGACATCAGAAGAATGAAAAGAACATGACGCATAGTACTGACCGAGACATGACATGACGCCAGCAGAACAGAAAGGAAAAGAATAGTTACATTTCCAAACATATCATCCCTTTATGTCCTCAAGACATAATATCATTGTTACACAGTTGTAGAGCACTCTTTGAGAGAGTGGTTGATTCATCGGATTTATCAAAAAAATTATTGCGAAATTTTTATTGTTACTTGCAAATTTGGTGGATACGATTGATAATTATAATGTTTATTATACATATTTAATTTTGGTTGGTATTTTTTTTCTGTTATATAAATTTCAGTTCAGTGTTTCTTTATCCAGAATGTCTTCGAAAAATTCGCTAACTAACATGGACATTAACGGTCACCTGCATAAATCTGATGATATTAATTACAGTAGCGATAGTGTTGATGATCCACTATTCGAAGAATTTGACGAAAGCGAGGGTTCTTCTGAAACACAATCCCGCTCTGACGAATTAGAGGAATATTACTTCTAATAATTCACATACATAAGCCAATAAAAGTGATCCTATATGGTCGTGCAAACACACAAAATTTATAAAGAACTCCATTTACTAGAGTAAGGGTCTACAAAAACCAATTGTACCTGCTGGTTTCCACAAAAAGGTGCAACCAACTGATGTTTTTTCTTCATTGAAAACCAGTTTTTCAGAGATTCTGAAAAAATAATCAACCCTTCCCAAGGAGGTATAATTGTAGCGCGCAAATTTCTGATCAAAATGAGACATCTCCCAGTTCTACATAACCTTTCTTTGAAAAGTTAAAGAATTTACGAAAAAAGCCCTAAATTAATCTCTTCTTACTTCTGCAACTTTGAGCTGACAATGAACATCAGGGCTTTTCTTGTAAATTGTAAGGTGTAGGTAATGCAAAATTTCAGTGGAATTTGTTTTTGGCATTATTATACATATTCAGATTCAGCTTAACGAGCTGATTACGATTAACATCTTTCGAGCCTCCAAAAGCCATTTCTTCATGGAGAAAAACTCAAATTACTGAGAGGACCTCAAAAATACAAAAAACCGTCCACTATGATGAAATTGACTTTTTGAGCTTGTATTGCAAGATGGAAGGTTCGAGCTATATTTTTCTAAATCAGCATTGAAAACTGATCTAGAAAAAGGTTTTCAGTTCATTTCAGAGGTAAACAGTCGTCCGCCATGAACATCCGAACCAACGGCTGTCAACTGAATATGACTCATTTTGTAAACCTATCTGATTTTTTGGGTGAAGGGCTATATCGATGATTCATACATCAGCAGATCGACCAACACGTCAGCTTAAAAAATATGTAGAGCTTATTCTGAAAATTCGTTTTCCTCGTCGAGAAAAACGGCTTTTACTGAAAACCAAAGAGAAACAGCGAGATGATCTTTGAAAAACCAGGCCGTGTGTAAAAATTTTCAATAGGATTGTATGGATTTTCTTCCATGCTATGATAGCCTAAGGTATCCTCTTCAAAATGAGAATCAAGTGAGAGCCTGGGTTTCCGCGGCTCGGGTGTTGTGTCGGATTTCTTGCGAGTCCCAGGACTGGCACTCGGGGACTATTGATAGCCTTGAAAACGGATGGACTATAGGTAATCGATCATGCTGAGTCGTGTTGCAATATTTATCTTTAGCAAGAGTTCTAAAAGTCTACCGAAAAGCGAGTTTTACGCAAATTTGGGTTTTCAGGCTGTTTTCACCTATTAAAAAATTCACTATTCGCTCAATAAACATCAGAAGGAGCTCAGACCTTCAGGATATGGTCCATTTTCTCCGCTAAATGGGATTATAAGATCGAAAAAATCGAAGAAGCGTATTTGCGCTAATGGGCTTTCAGAAACGGAGGCTCGAAAGATGTTAATCGTAGTCAGCTCGTTAAGCTGCATCTAAATATGTATAATAATGCAAAAACAAATTCCACTGAAATTTTGCATTACCTGCACCCTATAACTTTGCAAAGAAAGGTCGTGTAGAGCTGGGAAATATCCCATTTTAATCATAAATTTGCGAGCTACGATCATGTCTCATTAAGAAAAGATTCAGGTCGGAAGATTTCTAGAAAGCCTTTTCAAAAACCAAAGGGTTTTCTACATGTTTAAAAATGGGATATTCTAAACGATGTATCTATCTCTTCTCGGTAACATTCTTTGTTCCATTGTTCATTCGATCATGTACTCGCTCCACTCATCACTCTCTTCTTATGTGTGTATTTAACCACTCTCTCTTTGTCATTTGCACTGCGCATACATATTATACAACAGTCTATTGTATAATACACTTAGTAAAGGGTAGAATTTTCACCAGAACTCCATCTTTTTTCCTGAATTGCATTTCTTCAATCAAGGAAACAAGATGTTCTTCAGGAAAAACGTCCTTACTTTGATGTTCTAAACCGATATTTCTAAATACGAAATAAAATTTTAGGTCTAGGACTATTTTTTGGAAATTCATGTCTATGCGTTACCTAAACTTTTGTTAATAACTCGCTAATTTTTCAAGATATCAATATTTTCTCCTTGTCAAACGGTAGCCCTGCGTTTCAGCTACAAAACTCTCTCGCGCGCAATTCATTAACATGAAGTAATTCGTAGGATTTATCACTTCTTTCGCATGTGCCTAGACAAGAGGACCTTTTTTATCTGTGCGTTACCGACCATATTTTACTCATCAAATCCATACAATTAGACAGTTGAGGCTCAAATTTCTAAGTCTTATAGAATTTGTTTACTTACAAATTTGTTACAAATTCTAAGTCTTTCCCTTTTACCATTCCCTAGATACATCCGTTTGAAGTTTACCAAATGTCTGTGCGGTACCTGCGTTTTTCATATTCAATCAATTTTTTATCAAATTGTACTTTTGAACCACAGTTATGCGACCATTCGTAGCTGAGTTATGATTTTTCTAAAGATGATTTTAATGACATTTCAATGCTAAAGAGCTCATTTCTCACCCATTATGTGTTAGTTCGAAGAAATTTCTTCACAATATATAACTTGATGTGCTCTACAAAATACAATAAAAAAGAGAAAACTTTCGTCGGCCTGATCTGTCCCTTAATTCTTTTCCTGAAAAACAAAGTAAGTTGCCGAACAAAGACATCGGTAATTATTTCCATTTTTTTGTAAAAGTTAGAATATATATTGCAAGATCAAAGAGAGTTCTTCAATGTTTATGGTGTCATAAAACTATGTTATTGAATCTCAGCCGATTTTAGTTCTCGGATTTCTTTCTCACGCACAACTGCGTCAGAATAAATGGAGTCATTATGTTAATAAAGACACTAAACTTACATTCGTTTATAACATTGATCGACACCTTTCCGAAGCTTCGTCCGAAAAACCGAGCTATTAAATCACATTTTGCATGGAGATCAAAATCGTAAAAAATGTTGTCGTACTTTTCAATGCTAATCGACAGTCAATACAAATTCTCCTTATGATGCAAGTAAGCATTCGAACAATGATAGATGACGCAAAACATACATCATGCAATTAGAACACAGAAAAGTAAGGCTTTCGCCGCTGTAGGAACGGACTCTAAAACTATTTTCTATCCGATTCTGTCTGTAATATTAATATTAAGTTTGGAACTTTAGTTGCTTATCGAACACAACTTATCACAATGGGACAAACTGCCAATGTACCCGTCATACTTTTTAATGCTAACAGAAAGTTAAATACAAAAAACTAACGTTGTGTGAACGACAAAAACGTTTCTAATTTAGTGCTTTTCATTCATACAATTTCTCATTATGACGGAAGTAGGCATTCAAACAATGCTGGATGACACAAGCATACATCATGCAATCATAATACAATGTACAGGCTCTTTTTTTAACAGAGTAATTTATACATCCTTAATTGCATGATGATGATGATGATTTATATGAAGGAATGACTAAAACGAAAAACTGACTTCGGTTTTCCCACCAACAATTACAGACTTTATGAAATCACGGATCTTTTACCCATTTGTTCAAAGAGCGTAAGACAAGCTGACTTAGCTAGTAAAACGTCCGTGTCGATCACTCTGAAAAAACGAGTTGCAGTCGTTATTGCTTTTCATAGAGATGTCGAATGTTGTCGCAATATTAAATTCTTTGAGTCGTGATACAATATTTGTACGTGAAATACTGGAGATGTTTGTCCATTATTTGAAATCAAAATATCCGTCCGTTCAACAACTAATACATTTGAATGATGACAGACAAGTTCACTAAAGAAACATATGTTTAATGTTAAATTTGTCAAAACATTTATAACGATTTTGATCTCCATGCAAAAAATGTCAACAACATCACTGCTCATATCTGTTTCTCAACATCTTACAATATATGTCGGTCTAATGCTTTTTTTTTGGTTAATTGGTAATTGTTTAAATATTTTCATTCTCACGTGAAAGACTTTATTCCAAAAATCGAGTTCAACTTTTCTGTACTTGTTAACATCGTCCTGTTCAAATGTTATTTTACTCACAACAGCATTTTTAGTTCGCATTTTAATAAACGTATTTCAGTACGATCCAACAACGTCAAATATTTTATTATGCAAATTAAGATCTTATATAGCCCAAGTTAATGCATTAGTTTCATTGTCAAGTGTTTTTTAGACAACAATTGATCAATACTTTGTAACATATCGAAAAAGTCACATTCGAAGATTAAGTAAATTGTCAACAACTCGAATAGTAATTTTATTAAAGATCATATTGTGGTCTGTGTATGGTCCGCCATCATCACTATTGTACGATATCTATCCTGTTATACAACAAAATAAGACTACTACAACTTGCACTTCGTATTATACCTTATATAATGTTTATTTTACAAATCCAATTGTTTTGGGTCGTTTACCAGTATCAATAATGATTTTATTTGGTTTAATGGCATGGAAAAATATGCAAAAAGTTGGCGCCGTTCGATTAGCACGCCGCACTCACGATCATCAATTAACTCAAATGTTACTATTCCAAGTAGCTACGATGATAATATCATTGACTACATATTGTGGACAGAGCATATACAATGCAATAACTCTACAGATACGGAAAGATTCATTACGTTTGGCGCGAGAGACTCTATTTACATCAATATCATTATTTGAATTATGTAACAAGTTTCTATATTTATATGATATCATCAAAAGCGTTTCATGCTAAATTAGTAAAAAGAATATAAAAACTATATTTTCAAACTCGTCAAAAACATCCGCCATGAGAATGTCAAAACACCACACAAACTCGTATAGTTCCGTTCAAAACTGTATAAGCTGCCGGAAATGCAAAACTCGAACAAAAATTTGACTAGATCGAAACATACATGGTTGGATAGAGTATGTTCAGTTGATTAAGAATATGTCGTTTTGGTACGCTTTAAACCAAGTTTTCGGTAAGAAAACTTGAAAATACAAGTTACTGTCAGACTCCGTAGTGTATAGTGATTAGAAAGTCTCGTGCTCTTTCACGTGCGACTGACAAGAATCGAGATAAAACGTGTCCACGAAAAGTGTACTTTATTGAATAATAATAAAAAGGAAAAAAATGTATAACAAAACTAGACTGATGCGAAAAAAGTCATATCCTCCTTATTATAAAACGAGAAAATTTTCATGAGACATTCACCTCGTGGAGGACAATAAATGCTAAGAATACTCAAAACCTTCTGACCTCTTCATTGTCGAGAAAACTCAAAACAAAAATATCAAAATGAATATTTTGAAGTAACTGTGGGAGTAAGCATCACTGACTATTTGTTCAGCTGTTCAATTAATATTTCAAGTCAGAATAGGTCTGGAAATCAACACAATAATAAATAAAGTAGAAAAAATTGTTTTGAATCAATAGAATGTCCCTTGAAGAGCATCTTTTCATCCTCAGGGTTAATCGGAATAGATGGAAATGACGTTGCTTTTCCGTGCAGAGTAAAAGAGCGTTTTTGAAACGCGTATCACCTCAGAAGTGCTGTACTCAACTTGACAAATTTTACCAGATGAGACAGCAGTCATCACTGATGTCCAAAGCTAATGAATTAATTGCAGTTTCAAATAGATCTACCCCATCACTTGATTAAACACGTAATTAAATTTGTCAATTTTTCAAAGAAAAACTTTAATTTCCATCTTCATTCTTGATTGAGCCATTCAGTACGTGTTTGACCGTTATCTTGAATAATTTTCAGAATTACTTTTCCACAAACAAAAATAATATCATCACATAAACTATTTAAATAACCATACATTTTTTTACCATTTGAAACAGCTGACCAAGCACACATACCAGCTGTGACTACAAAACCAACAGCAAATAAGCCGACTGCTAGACCAGTACGCAGAGTACCTGATGCAACAGGTATCAATGCTCTAGCAGCATCATCACTAATAGTAGCAGCAACAGCTCCAGCTCCAACGGCACCGGGACCAGCAATTTTTGTGAAATTTTTTCCTTTATCTTTGATATTACTATTAGTTGAAAATGTTTTCTTGAAAGCTGATGTTTTTAAACCATTTTCATCCATATCAATATCAAATTCTTTTAAATAATTTTTAAATGTATCACTTTTACCATTAAACCAATTTGAGAAACGTGAGCGATCATTTATACCAAATGTTTGTCGAATATCTTCTCGTCCCAAATATCCTGCAAATAAATCAGCAAACGGAATAATACCTAAAATACCAGCTTCAATTTTATATTTTAGTATTGAAATAACATAACCACGACGAAAACAAGTATTAATAACTCGTGCTGTTGCACATAATGCCATTTGATGTAGACGCTGTTCATACAAATTTAATGGTAAGTTACTCAGATAATGAATTAATTTATTAATATCAAATTTTGAAAATAATTTTTCTGCTAAAATTTTATTACGTTTATTTATATAATAACTAGCAAATGTCAAATAAACATTTGACGACAATAATTCACCATGAATATCATGACTAACTTTTGAACGAATTTGCCTAATTATTTTTTCTTGATATAGTTCTCGATATTTATCATCACTAATTGAATCAAATTCTTCACCAATATCTTCTTCAAATGTATTAAGAAATAATTCATCAACTTTTGTTCGTACTAATAAACATGAACGTTGTAATGTTTGTTCAATATAATTTTGCCATTTATGTTGAATATCAGTAAATGTATTATCAAAAACAATAATATATAAATCACAATTAGCTTTTCGAATTTCATCAAAATAATTTCCAGATTTAAGATATGTATCATTATCTGTTGAACCTTCAATATCAACAAATATTACTTTTTTACCATTTGGATAAACATGTTCAAATTCTAATGAACAATAGGTACTTTTATCACTATGAGTAGGTGAGACAAGTATTGTTGATGTTGTAGTTGAATGTATTTCTACTAATTTATCATTTTCTATCTCTCTTAAACGATTTAACAATGAACTTTTTCCTGAACTTATTTCACCAATAATACCTATTTTGCATGGTATAGTCGGTATAATTATTTGATTAAGATCTTTCTCAATTGCTCTAAAAAGATCAAGTACTTTTGGTTGAAATGTTTCACTAGTACCTAATATTGTATTCTCCCATTCTTGCATTTTGTTCTTTAATGATTGAAAATATTTTTCAAATTCTGTCTCTTTAATGTAGCACAATAATAATTCACATAATTCAATAAATTTTGAACCTAGTTGACTATTATTTTCACTAGTCATTTCATTTTTATAATTTTCTAAACAAACATTCATTTCATCATCTTTGTCTTGGAGTATTATTTCATCAACTCTTTGTTTAATATTTGCTAAATTAGTAATTAATATATTTGCTTCGTCTATTTGTAAACTTATGGTTGGTGGAATAGTTGTGAACTTATTTTTTAATGTTTGAACGAGTGATTGAATATGAATTATTCGACAAAGAATATCGTTCGATAATGTTCTTGGTAAATCCAATGTTGATAACAAATCAATGTTATATTTAACAATAAATTGTTTCCATAACAAATTTTTGAGTAACAAATTCTGTTCTGGTCCGTTTTGATATTCACCGGCACAATACATACAACGAAATGGTTTACCATTATTATATTTTATAATCGATTGTACACATTTATTACAATATTGATAGTCACAATTTGGTCGACTACATTCACAGGGCAAGTAATCTGGTGTTATACCAAACGGATTTAAGCACATACAACATGAATCCCATATCTAAATGAAATTTAAACTATGATCGATAAGACAAGCTAAATAAAAACTTAAATTTCTTTTTTGATCATTTATAATGAATAAAACTGTCCTTCATATGTGAATTTTTGTTATTTTGATACCGTTGGCTTAACATGTCAAACTTTTTGTTACTCTTTTCAAGCCGCTAAACTCACCATTTGTTTATACGTAATCTGTGATGATGCTATTCACAAATCTAATTTTTGGATGAGCTTATAGAAATCAGATCCTCAGTAAACCATTGTGACTTTTTAACCGGACAAATACTTATACAATTTGCTTATAGAGTAAGTACATTGAATCTTCTATACAGAATAGTTTTCAGAGCTGCCAGTCAGTTTCATGAGTTTTACAAAACTCTCACGTAATAATGTAGTAGCAAACTTAACTTTTCTGAGACCAGTCGCATCAGAATGTGTGCGATTGAAAGCTTAACGATGGTTTTTTAAAGATCTTATCTCTCTGGGTTCACTCAAGACAGGTCAGAGTTATAACCGGACCGGTTGAAATGGTTGGACCGGCCGGTTTTCACCGGTCTAAAGAACTTTTTCAGTCGTAAAACTCCCTTCCCCCTCAGGATTAAGTCATAAAATGAATTTCACAATTTTCTAGATATACAATTTTTTCAATAAAATATGTTGAGAGCAAGTCTAAGTTCTTTTATCAAAGATAATCATATTGTTACAAAAAACATCAACTTTATTTCCTTCAATTTGCCTAAACTTTTTCATTTTTTTAATCGAAATTTTTTTAACTCCACGCAGATGGGTGTTTTTTGAAGCTTCTCGTTTTAACTGGCAGTGCATGACCTAGCATACCGGTCGGTTTTTGCCGGTTTTTACTGGTCTAAAAATTTTTTTCAACCGGTCAGTCACCGGCCGGACCGGATCGGTTACAACTCTGAGACAGGTCTAACCGCTAACGACAAACGAAAATGACATTCGTGGTCAGAATAAAAATTAGCCATAATTCAGTATTTTCGAAGAAAAAGCAAGGAACCATTTGACGAGTTTCTCTCATTAGGTCATTCAAGGCTGATCCTGTGAGTTCTGGCTTCCGTCCATACTATGAAATAAAAAAAAAAAATTCATTGAGAAATTATTATCGATATACAGCGCGATCCTCTGACTGATAGATAGAAACATAATCCAATACACACAAAATTCTGTATAACAACACTAACGGATGGCCGAGGTTAATTATCGACTTTTGTACCATGTTTTTCCCTAACATCGGCATCGCTTTGAAGCCCCATTTTAGTGCTAAACGATAGAAAATTTCTTGCTCTACAAAACAAAGTGGATGCGGTACTAACATACTGGTCCTGAATTAGTCAATAGCAAGTAAAAACTAAAACTGTGACATGAAGAAACATTTTTATGAGTGTTTTACGTCACTCGACCAATTCCTTAAGGGCCCTTTCCCCTTAGAAATGATAATTTTGTATCAAAAAAATCAGTTTGAAGGCAAGCGCATAGAAAGATAGTCTGAAGTGCTTACTTTCACAATCTGTATCGCTGTCAGGCCTGGAACTGGTTTTTTGTGGTTTCCGAAGAAATTTTCTAGAAGCCTTGAGAGTCAGGGTCTTCAAATAATAATTTTTTCTGGAGCACTTACACAAGTAAATTTTTTTCTAAATACGTAGATTTGTAGAGCATAATTTTATGATTAAAATAAGACGTAGCACAACTCTGTCTGATCTGGGTTCAAAAATTACAGGCATTTTCCTACATGTCCTAAAATAGATAAACCAATGCACAGCATTTTCTCTCAAAACACGTTTTTTGTTGGAACATGTCCAATGTGGAACACTATTTTAAATATACTTCAAACTCGAGATCTCTAGTTTGAAGTATATTTTAAAAAGGTGCCTCATAGTGAAGGGTGGATTTTTGACCTTGGACTCTGGAAGACCCCGGAATAGTAAGAGATAGCAGGGCAAAAAATATTTAATAACCATACTTTGATATAGCAAACATTTGCCGAAAGTTTGAGCAAAATTGCATATAAGACAAAAAAGTTTTTTTCTGAGGAGAACCCTTAAGCACGATAGTGTCGGGCTTTCTTCCAAAAGTTCTAACGAATTTATACGTGAAAGTTTTTATATTTTGTCGGTTTAAGAATACCCAGTCTACCCAAGCATGAAATTTCATAAATAATAAACTAGCTGCTCTTGCTGAAGACGTACCTACTTCTCCACTGACTGCAGCTAGATAAAAGAGTAAAATAGCGAGTTTAGCCAGTTGCAGCAGGACAAACCCACTAACCCGCTTCAGTACCAGTTGCAGCGGGTATATAAATATATAGAATGAAAACATGAAAACAAAAAAGACGTTCCTGAAGATATTCGAACTCTGTATATGAAGATTAATAATCTTCTCTGTAAGCCAGTGCACCATAGGAGCATACAACTAAAAGTTTATGTTTTTCGTTCTGTTCTGATGAACTAGTGAATTGAATTTGAAGAAGTTTAATTAGATTGGTGTAACTAGGATTGTTCACCATGAATGACGCATTCGTCAGAGTTATATCTAGAGACAATAGTATGTGAAATTTAATTTCCAACACTTTTTTCTCTTGGTATAATGTTCGAAAGCGCTTCCTTCATACTGAAAAATCCAAAATAATAAAAAGAATTGCATTTTTCATTTTGCATTCACTCTGTGAAATGCTTGCTTCATGCAAAATCAAATTACTGTAGGCGATTTCCAACTAGCTTCGGCTAGTCGAAAATCGCGTTACCCAGTTCGTTACTAGCTGAACCGGCCGCTATAGCTCCTGTTCTATGGTGTGTACATTTATACAGCTAGCTGCAACGGGTGTCGAAACTAGAGTAGATAACTACAGCGCCCACTAACCCGCTTCAATATTTTTACATTTTTTTATAGCTAGTTGCAGTGGATTATGAAGCTAATGTAGCTAGCTGCAGCGGACGCTACTGCTTATTTTTTCATTCTTGGATAGCTCGGGATAAACATCTGACCCACTATGAACATCTTTATAGCATCATCTTTGCTCTGTTTTAAAAGTTGCTTGAAATTTAGAAAACTCCAGAACTGTGACTGCTGATCACAGTTTTGTTTTTCACCTGCTGTTGTTCACATGTTACTTTTCTTGTTGAATTTTTTTGAAAAAAGTGCTATGAAGAACTTCAATATGCCGCTTGCTCTGACTTACATTCATGAAATTAAAAAGAATGAATAAGAATCCTTACCCGTTTAACAGCGATATCGAACCATTGTACATTTTTTTGTATTAAATTCATTTGATCGATTAATGTTTCAATACCATGTTCATTGGTATATGTTAATATTATATTTTTGTTTGTAATGTCATATTTGCTATATTTTACAGATATTTCGTCTAACAATTCTTGTATTGTTGAATAATTACCTGTAAATTTTTGTTGATCACCTAAACAATCTGTTCGAATTTTATACATTTTCTAAAATAGACAATATAACGAATTAAGGTATCCCTTGCTAGAGATCAAGAATGTGAGCATGAAAATAGGACATTCAATATTTTCAAGGTTACTCGGTTAGTAGTTCAGATTGATTCTAAAATGTCAGAAATAGCTGAGGTACAACAGAGTCTAACCTTTGCGGAAAAACAGCGGATTACAACAGTAAAAAATTTAACAATGACGTGTAAAGCTTTCAGTCATCCTGCTTTATTTCTAAAACTAGACAGAACACCAAAATTGGATTCTATATGGCCTAGACTTTGATGTAGGGTCGATTTTAGATCTAACAGAACCATCCAGCATTTTTTATACTCATTAGAAAATCTCAGAACTAAAAAAATACTTTGTTATGTCACGTACTAGAGTCCTGCCATAAGGGAGAAGATCATAGTCAAGGTTATTGTGCTAGAATATTCGCAAGCTTATGGTGCAAGAATAATTCAAAGTTTATTGCACAGAGTATAGTCAAGATTATTGCACGTATAAATAGATCGAGTTTTATTGTTAAGGAAAACTTTTTTGTTTGTTAATAAACGGTA